AACGCGATCGAGTGCAGATTTAGCCTAGAGGTTGCCCCGAGGTTGCCTTTTCAACTCTCTTTTAGCAGCCAGTCAGAGCATGAGAACTCTGTGGTTTGAGTGCTTCCTAGTGGAAGGCAGCCTAATTATTTTGATTTGCGAGCTGTTCGCTTAGCAGGGGAAAAGCATCTTGTCAATAACTCTCTGAGGTAAGATATGGTTTATAAGGATAAGAATAAGAAGAATCTGCAAAATGGTGTCTATCGGCTTGCATGCGGCGTCCGATATGCTTGATCAATTCTTCAATTCAAAATATTTTCGTACCAGTCCTTTACGAAGGTAAACTGAAGAGGAGTGATTTTAGAACACCCGGCTATAGCATAGAGTGTAGGGGCAAGTTTGAGGAAGTGTTTCTGAAGAGGCAGTGGCATGTCAGGTAAAACTTAAGCAGCTAAGCCCGGGAGCCAAATCAGTGAACCTTGAGGGTGGTCGATCATGCGATCAGAGGACGGAGACTAAATTTCCGAGCAATCGACTGTACACTAAAGAAAAAAAAAAAACGGAAAGATTTAATATAAAAATATGATATATTCAAACAAAAACTGAGATTTAAGCTTATATCGGAAAAGATCTGTATAGTTCAATTGTGATACGTACCAAAGCCCGAGAGAAAAGGGGGCAAGAGGCGGGAGAAGAAAGGGTGGGAAGCGGTAGTTTTAAGAGGGCGGGAATCGGGAGCGAAATGCAAAATACTAATTTTTGTCATTTATTAAGCGTTAAAATACTTTCAAAAACAAGAACCTAAAATGTTATTTGAGTCTTGGCGTATTTTGAGTTTTCTGGGCCGACAAGCAAACGAAAATTCGCTCTTGGGCTAAAAACGACTGAGGCTTACATCCTGTAAAATGGGAAACCCTTTTACGGTGGCTACGTCATAGGTCATGAAATTTTGAGTAAGAGGAGCACCAGGCGGAAAACAAAGGGGAAAGAAAGTAAAAGGACACGCCTTAGACTTGCGCTGCTAAATCAGTAAATGACTAGGATGTGTTTTGAGTCTCCTTATTTACAGCGGCTTGGAAGGGGAGGGGGAGGGGCGGAGGAGGAATAGGGAAGCAAGAGAGAGACTGGGGTCAAGTTTCGACTCCATTTTTAGCCGCTGGTTGGGAAACGAACTCTGTGCGCATAGAACAGAATAACATTGTTTTGACTGTTGCCTGTTGAGGTAAGTAGATAGAAATAAGAATAATAAGCAATTCAAGTTGTCTTCGATGGAAGAATCTGAGTCTTTTGGGTTGCGTGCGGCGTCCGACGTGCTTGATCAAGTCTTCTAATTATTGCATTCGGGTTTCGACAAATCACTGTCCCCCGGTCAACTGACCCCCTACTGACCCCCACTGACCCCCCTACTGAACCCGCTACTGACCCCCTATAAAATCAATGGGAAAAGGAAAATTAAAAAAGCCCAGAACTATCAATGGGACCGATTCAAGTTCATCAGTAAATTTAGCTTACCTGAAACTTCCAAGATGGCAGACGCGTTGTAGATTTCCGACCCCCTTGTTCTCCTTTGACTGTTAAGTGGAGGTTTTATTGACGGAACATCGAGCACAGAGTAAGCTTGAAAATCATCAAATATTGTTTTCGTAAGCATTGGGAAATGAAGCAAAGAGAAACGCCGACAAATGAGCAGGCTCGCGAAAGGCTCGTGATGGACTGTTCGTGCGAGCGACATGAAGACGCTTGTAAACCTCAACCGGAAGTCCTCTCGCCTTGTTTTCGCAGTTTAAGAACTGTAGTAACTGTAGTATACACCATCTGGACAAGCCCGGTGGATTACTTTCTCCTTGGTGAATAAGAGGCAAATCGTTGAAAAACAGTAATGCCACTCACCGTCCATGACTAAAGCCATGAGCAACGTTGTGCATGCGGAAGGCGAGGGACCTGGGGCTACAAGGCGTCCAAAATAAACTTCCGGTTGATGTAATTGTGTGCATGTGCGTGTCGCTCAAGGTTAGTCGCGTACGTGTAAATTTGCCAGAATTTCCTTGCTATTAGTTTTTCATTGCTTAATTTTCTAATGGGTACAAATACCATACTTGATGATATTCCAACTTATTCTGTGCTCGATTTTCCGTGACAAATCCTTCAGTCAAATGAGAAGGGAGTTGGAAATCTGCAACGCGTCCGCCATCTTGGAAGTTTCAGGTAAGCTTAATTTATTGACGAACTTGAATCGGTCCCACTGATAGTTCTGGGCTTTTTTTAATTTTCATTTCCCCGTTGATTTTATAGGGGGTCAGTATAGGGGTCAGTATGGGGCTCAGTATGGGGGTCAGTAGGGGGGGTCAGTAGGGGATCAGTAGGGGGTCAGTTGACCGGGGGTCAGTGTTTAGTTTCTCGAAACCCGTTTTAGCGGGCCAAAATCCACTCTACATTCGCTTCGTCACCGTGCACGGTTTCAAGGCAAAGTTTTTCGTTACCCAGAAGCTGAAGATAGCGATTACAGGTAACAACAACAACAGGTAAGCAATTTTTGCATAAATTGAACGAGTAGAGTAGAGTAACGTCAAGATATATTTCCTTTTGCCTTTGGTTGTGAATATGTCATTATCAAGGAGAAGTTACATTGCTTGTGGAATCGACTTTGGTGATGTTTACATGCCGTGCATAAAGAGCTTTATTATCTGTTATTATCTGTTCTTGATAACTCAATAAGTGTATGGGACATTTGTTATTGGCCTATATGCACCTCATGATTCCTTCTGATGCATGCTCTTGTAAGGTTATGTTGCCCTCTGATGTGAATGCTAGTAAGCTATAATGCAATGTGCCATATTCAGCAGAGAAATTTCTCTTACGCTAGTGCAAGTATTCTGAAGTTACTCAAGTGTCTACAGTTGTACCTACATGCAAGTTACAATATGCTGTTATACACACCTGTACATGGACATTGCACCCACTTGTACTGATAGTATGTTAAATGTTGTGGAATTTTCTTTCATAAAAAAAAAATAAGATACTTTATAAAGAGGTATACATGTACCTCAAACTGTCATGAAAACTCCATAGGACTTGAAAAAAGGGAAGAGTAACTTGCCCAGGCAGGAAAATCTACTTGTCTTGGACGACACAGTATAGTCAATCGATTATTTGATAACAATCAATAGAAATTAGTCAGTGATATCAGAAATCAATGAAAGGATTCGTCATGAGTAATCGATTGTGATCAAATTTTCAATAAGCATAATCGATCTTGCTGATACCAGCTTATCTTTTGAACAACATTTAATAAGAAAGAAATGAACAAAAGATATAAAGTGAAATATGGAATCATGAATACAATTGCATAAAAACATAACATTGTATCTTGTAAGCAGAATATTTTGCTGGCATACATGTATCAGGGACTATGTTTTCGGGGTGTTTGGTAGTGCCTTTGAAATCTACATAAAAAAACGTTACAATCAAACAGTGTGTTGAGGGACAGTTTTTCTACAGTGTATGTGAACTAACAAAGAGAGACCAACTTTCAACTGATTCTCTAACGACTGATAAATCTGGTGAAATCAAATCGATAACTTGAAACTTCTCTAGCATGTGAGTATGAATTTCTTTCAATTAATTGATAACACTGATAACACTTACATTAATTTCAATTTATCGATTTATATCAATTTATGGATCAATTTCAATCGATTGCCTTACCGTGGGATGATCAGACAACACTCTAGAGCCCTGTTACAGCTGTACATTTTATTTGTACGAAATTGGGCTCTTACCAAATACATGTAGGTTTCATGTGCCATGCATCTGTTCAGTAGTAGCAGGGCAGGAAAAAAA